AGCAGAGGACCACTTCATTGAAGACCCAACCTGTAGTAACTCAGGTTAGCACCCCTGGGGCAGTCTGAGATAGACTTTAGCCTCTGATACAATAAGTAGAAAGGATAAAGTCAACCTCAAAGTCACATGACTATATACAGAGTGAAGATTGAATGAGAAGAGACACCTTAAACTACAACACAACCAGCCCATGGAGCTGGAGAGAGGCCAAAGACAATGTCATCTTATTGTATCTCAGCAGATCCCTCAGTCTGAGTTGTACTTTAGTGTTATTACACAAGTAAGAACAGTAAAGAGCGACTCAGAAGTCACATGACACTAAGCAGAGTGCAGATTGAAGAAAAGAACAAGTAAAATAGTTACAACACCCCCCCTCAATCCAGCTCCTGCTTTCTGAGCCCTAATACAGAGCATTGGTATTGGTGAAGGTCTCTAGGCAGAGCCTTAGTAAAGATGTCAGCAGAATTCCCCTTGGAAGCCACCCATTTAATCTCCAACCTCCCTAAGTCAACCTGGTCTCTAATCCAATAGTATTTTGTCTCTATGTGCTTCATTCTCCCATGGTGTTCTGGGATTTTGATGACTTTGATAGATGACTGGTTGTCCATTTGGAGAGGGAAGGATGAGCCTTGTATTGTAGTCTGAAAAAGAGGCCACACCAGGATTCAAACCTAGGACCATCCAACATATATTTGGAGGTGTTAACCACTACACCATATGGCCAGTAGCCATATTGTATCTCAGCAGGACACCTCAGTCTGAGTTGACTTTAATGTTATTACACAAGTAAGAACAGTAAAGAGTGACTCTGGAGTCACATGATGCTATATGGAGCATAGATTGAATAGAAAATAAGAGAAATAACTACAACACTGTATCCCATTTTTGTGTTTTGGGTGCCAGGCCTATGTCCATGTGCAAAGGACAAAAGGAAAAGCTTCTGTCATATGCATACAATCCCGACCTCTGCTCTGGGCTCCTGGAACTCCGAAACTGACTCCAGAGCCCTACTTCCCTTCCATCACCTTCTCCTTGCCGACTCCCAAGAGGTTATCCCACCTCCGGTTCCAACACCACCTTTGGTCCGACTCTGGAACATTCCAGGTCCAACCTCAACCTCGACACCTCCCAGATGAGCACGCAACACCTATGCTCCTGACTCCGGACCTCTGCTCCCGAATCCCGTTTGCATCTCTGTTTCTGGAACCTCTGGTCTTAGCTCCGACCTCAGACTTTGGCCCCGCCTCCGCTTATACCCATTGTATTGGTTAGCTCATTCCATTTAATTATGTTTGCCAATATTCCAGAGTTTAACTTCCGAGTTCGGACTTTCCGGACTTACGTTGGACCTTGCAACTATTGCATTGCTCCATTCAATCCTGCTATTCTCCCTCATTCCTATTTGGGCTGCTGCTTCCTTTCTATTCAGTCAGTCAGCCATTCCCCACTCCCATCCTCCTTCCTTCCTCCTTGGGCCTTGGCCCTTCACTCCTCCTTTGGGAAACACCATTGAGTCAAACCCTTGACCCTCAGTGTTGTTCCTCTTTCCAGCTCCCTTTGTCTCCTTTCGGAGTACCCTTGCTCCTTTTGATTCCGGACCCCTCCTTATATACAATGTACATAGTAACTTGTAACCTCAGTCCGAAATCGACCTGAAATGCCCCCAAGAGACTTTCCCTCCGCTAGATCTGAAATTAGGGACCCCCAGGACAACCAGCAATGGCACAGCGCTCTGCCTGAGTTGCTGAGGCCGAGGTCCTTCCACGCTAAGTCTCCGATTCCACTCCAGATTTGTCCAAATCTGCCCATTCTAACAGCTTCCAATCAAACACTTGTTGTGGAATCTTTATTGGGTACCTGTCACAGCCATGATCCCAGCCCATTAGCTGCCTGTCCTGAGCCCATCTCCACTGTGCAAGCATGGGTGCAAGCCCTGACCTCATCCCTATCCTCCCTGAGGACTCCCTGCTCACCCCCCCCTGCTTGCCCCTAGGCTCCCCTACACTTGGCTGCCCCTGCAGCCACACCAACCTCCCCACCCTGAGTCTGCCTCCAGCACCATGCCCAGCATGACTCTGTGACCCTGCCTACTCCACCCACTTGGCCCTCACCAGGCCACTACCATCCCCACACCCAACTCCAGCCCAACTCCAAGTCTGGCACCGCTACCACTGCTATCATGGCCCTATGCTCCTTTGTTTATTTTGTTGTGTGTAGTTGTTTCTATTTCTCCTTCATTACTTATTCAATCTGCACTCCATTTGTATCATGTGAACTGTGGAGTCATCCATTAACTGTTACTTCTACTTGGAATAACATTAAAGGACAACTGTCATATCCATACAATCCTGACCTCCGCTCCGGGCTCCTGGAACTCCGAACTCCGACTTCCGGAGCCCTACTTCCCTTCCGTCACCTTCTCCTTGCCGACTCCCAAGAGGTTATCCCACCTCTGGCTCCAACACCACCTTCGGTCCGACTCCGGAACATTCCGGGTCCGACCCCAACCTCGACACCTTCCAGATGAGTACGCAAAACCTATGCTCCCGACTCCGGACCTCCGCTCCGGAATCCTGTTCGTGTCTCCATCTCCAGAACCTCTGGTCTTAGCTCCGACCTCAGACTTTGACCCCACCTCCGCTTATACCCATTGTATTGGTTAGCTCATTCCATTTAATTACGTTTGCCAATATTCCGGAGTTTAACCTCCGAGTTCGGACTTTCCAGACTTACTCCGGACCTTGCAACTATTGCATTGTCCATTTCAATTCCGCTATTCTCCCTCGTTCCTATTTGGGCTGCTGCTTCCTTTCTATTCAGTCAGCTAGCCATTCCCCACTCCCAACCCCCTTCCTTCCTCCTTGGGCCTTGGCCCTTCATTCCTCCTTGGGGAAACACCATTGAGTCAAACACTTGACCCTCGGTGTTGTTCCTCTTTCCATCTCCCTTTGTCTCCTTTCGTCCTACCCTTGTTCCTTTTGATTCCGGACCCCTCCTTATATACAATGTACCTAGTAACTTGTAACCTCAGTCCGAAATCGACCTGAAATGCCCCCTAGAGACTTCCTGCTCACCTACTGTGAAATTAAGGACCAAATGGACAAACAGCAATGGCACAGCGCTCCACCTGAGTCGCTGAGGCCAAGGTCCCTCCATGCTAAGTCTCTGATTCCACTCCGGAGTCGTCCGAATCCGCCCGTTCTAACAACAACTCAGAGTGGCTATTGCTGAGTTATAATAGGTTATGTGCCCTCTTCTTTAAAGAGCTTCACAAAGATGCGATTTTTTCATTTTAGAACACACACTTAAGTCCCTGTGTTCATCTCTTTGCTCTAACTGTCAGGGTTCAGCACCCTGCCTTAGGGTGCCCCGGACTCCCCACCTACTTTACCCCCTTTTATTCTTTGACTGTTGCCTTGTTGTTGCCTTTGTGTGTTGTGTACACGCGCACGCATGGGATAGCATGGGAACTTTCTGAGCGAGCAGCTCGCCCAGAATGTTCCCACGGGTCACAGCCACAGTTCTGGGCAAGCAACTCGCCCAGAATGTTCCCACGCTTACTGGGCACTGCCACCTGGATGTTCCCTCCGGGTCACACTACACAACTCTAGGAGCTGTATAGTTGTGGGCATGTGACCCATTCCTTTATATAGCAACCATGCGGGGAGATGAGACCTTTACCCTTCTTCTCATCTCATGCCCCACATAGGCAAGTGTATATATTATCTTTCCTTTTACTATACATCTCATGCCCTGCATAGTGTGAGGATGGGTTAGATGGGGGCTGAGGTCAGGGAGCCTCCGAGTCCGAGGCCGGGCCCTGACACTAACACCTCAACCATCTCTGCTTTCATCTTAAAATTCACAAACAACACACTTCACATGATGCCCTTTCAGCTGTCATGCTTTTGGATGTTTTTTCACACTCTGCAGGGCCACAAACTCGAAATCTTGGACACTTTTGATTCTTTCTGCTGTCTGGTTAACACTTAAGTGTCTGTGTCTCCAAGCTATCAGGGCACACACCCTGACTAGCCTGGACCCAGACCTGCATGTGTGCTCTGCCCTGCATGCTCCATGCACTGCATGCTCCAGGCCCGGTTCCCATTCCTCATGTGACTTCTGGGTATCCCTGGAAGTTTTTGCCATATTGGGGCCACTGTGGGAAAGTGAGAAGTTAACCTTCTTCTCACTTTCTTACCCACAGTAGGCAAGTGTACATTACTTGCCTTTATCTTATTCACTTTCTTACCCATAGTAGTGTTATGCCCTGAGATGGGCTGTGTTACAGGCTAGGCTGTGGGCCATAGAGAGGGGTCATGGGGACCCAGGGATCATCCCCTGACACAAGCTCCTCAATTATGCCTGCCATACTGTTCCAATCGCTCTGAAACATGCACACATTATCCCTCATCAACAACTCTACCACACATTAGTGCCAAGCACCTCATGACATTCTTGTTCCTGCATTCAACATCAAAGTATATGTGGCATTAAACTCACACATTTACGTCTGCTACACTGTGTCGATCCGAAATGCATACACATCATTCTTTGTCAACTACTCTACCACATGTCAGTGCCAAGTGCATTGTAATGTCGTTAACCCCACATTCTACACCATTCTTTCCACCATGCCCTCTGAAACCACCTCTGATTCAATCCCCAAGCTCAATCCTTCCAATTACCATGCCTGGTATGCTGAAATTCACACTCTCTTGCATGAAAAAGGCTACTGGGGTATCATACTGTTGTAGTTTGAGTTGTCTCTTTTGTTTCAATCTTCACTCTATAGATAGTCATGTGACTTTGGAGTTGACTTTATCCTTTCTACTTATTGTATCTAGGCTAACGTCTACTCCAGACTGCCCCAGGACTGCTCACCTGAGTTACTACACATACATGGTACTGTCACTCTCCCTGCTGAGAAATCCTATGAAATGGTCCTGGAAAAGGAGAAAGCGCTGGGTTTAATACACTGGAGTGTTGAACCAGCCTTAATGGCTGACATTCTTGATCTGGAGGATCCCCAATTGGTTCTGGAGAAGCTTATGGTGTTTCAAACACTGGGACATGGTTCAATGCACTCAAATCTTTCCTGTCTATCACCCAACAGCCAGATGAAACGATTCCTGCTGTGATTTCACGGATTAGAGATGCACAGAGGGCCTTTGTCAATGCTAGGCCAGACAAATATGAAGTCTCCACTTTTGATGCAGAACTTTTTGTTGTGGTTATTTCTCTTCATTTTCTATTCAATCTATGCTCTACTTAGTGTCATGTGACTGCCAAGTCGCTCTTTACTGTTCTTACTTCTGTAATAACATTAAAGTCAACTCAGACTGTGCTATCTGCTGAGTTATAATACTTTTCACCTCTGTCCTCATCAGTGCCACCCCTGCCTATTCCACCCTCACTGAGACCCTTCTTACCAAGCCTACCCTCACCCCTGGAGATGTTGAAGCTGCCCTGGTCACTGCTGAAGAGACTAGGGCAGAATCATTGTCAATTGCTGCTCTCAACACTTCCACCCCTCCCCATCCTGTTCCTTCTTCCAATCCCAATCCCAAATCAAATTGTGAATGCCACTTTTGTGATGCCAAGGGCCATACAACAAGGAACTGTCGGAAGATGAAACAGGCTAAGGCTCAGGCTAATCAGGCAAATGACAGGGATTCTCTGGCTGAGTTTGCAGGCAATGCAAGTGCTCTCTCCACTCCCTCCAGCTCCTGACTTTGGATTGCAGACACAGGTGCAACCTCTCACATGACTCCTCATCGTGAATGGTTTAAGGACTATACTGCTGTCAGAGTCCCTGTACATCTAGCTGATAACAATGTCATATATGCTGCCAGTTTGGGTTCAGTTGTTTTTACACCGGTAAAAAATGGGAAATGCTTGCATCAAATCCAATTCTCCAATGTGTTACATGTTCCTTTACTTGCCAACAATCTTCTATCTGTCCTCACCCTAACAAGAAAGCACAATTTTGAAGTTAACATCAGGAAGTCAACTATGAGATTTACTCTTAACTCCCAGCTGTTGTTTGAGGCTTCAATGTCTGAGGACAATAGTGCCCTATTGGATGGATCCACTGTTGTTCAAGCTGCCTTGAGGGCCACTCCCTCATCCCCTGAACTATGGCATCATCACTTCTGTCATATTGGAAGAAATCAACTTAAACAACTCATCTCTGGTTCACTGGTAAAGAACTTGGACATTGGAAAATCTTCTCTCTCCACTCCCCTCCCAGATATCTGTGAGCATTGCTTGGCTGGCAAGCAACATTGCTTCTCATTCCCCCAGAGTGCCTCAAACAGATGTAGTAGGCCTTTGGAACTTGTCCACTCTGATGTGCATGGCCCTGTGTCTGTCCAAACCCCTCAGCAACACCAGTACTGGATCACTTTCATTGATGACTTCACCCTTTGCTGAAACACAAACTGGGTTTACTTTGAAGGCACTGAGGGCAGTGAATACATAGGAAAGGATGGATCATTTTCTTAAGGAACATGGGATTGTGAGGGAGGATACCACCACTGCTACTCCACAGCAGAATGGAGTTGCAGAGAGGACAAACTGGATTCTGGATGAAGGTATCACCTCTATGCTGCATGAAGCATCTGTGCCTGGTTCCTTCTGGGGAGATGCTTTAGGTGTCTTTGTTCACACTCTAAATCACTCTCCTTCATCAGCACTTGATGGAGTCACTCCTTATGAGGCTTGGTTTAATCATAAACCTTCTGTCTCTCACTTCCGTGTTTTTGGATGTCAAGCCTACATTCATGTGCAGAAGGACAAACAGAAAAGTTTTGAGTCAAAGACTTGTCATGGAATTTTCATTGGGTACCCACCAGACTTCAAAGGTTGGAAAGTTTATGATCCATAGACTTTTATCTCAAGAGATGTGACCTTTGATGAACAATCCATGCCTGGAAACAAATCTGATTCTTCTATCGGTCCCTACATTCCTACACACCTGTTTCCAGTGCCAAAGGCAGGGGGAGACAGCAATCGCTTCACTCCTCTCCCTGACACTGATGATTCCTTTGACACTTTCTCCTCTGACACTGTCCCTCCTGCACCACCTTCTCCTGCCCCTTCCTGTTGTAACTCAGGTTATGGCACCTCTGAGGATGACTTTAGTGTTTATACAAGTAGTAGAAACAGTAAAGTCTGACTCAGTAGTCATGTGACTCATATGGAGTGAAGATTGAATAGAAAGAGAAGGAAACAAATGCATAACTTCAACACTTCCCCCTCTCCATCCCCATTTCTCCCTGCTTCTCCATTGCCCTCACCCTCTCCTGCACCACCCTCCTCTTCATCTGGCCCTTCAACTTTGCACAGAACAACTTGCTCCAATGCTGGAAAACCTCCAGGTGAGTGGTGGAAGGTAAACCCATCTCCTTCCCCACCTGTGAGCAAGTGGGAGGCTAGAGAGCCAACTCCTGGTGTCAACTCTGACTCTGAGGCTGATGCTGATGAGCCAGAAGATGACTCAGAAGATGAGCTTGCTATGGCTGCCCTTTCTGTGGTTATTTCACTTAGTTTCTCTTCAATCTGTGCTCTATTTCATGTCACATGACTGCAGAGTCATCCTTTACTGTTACTACTAGGTGTATTAACACTAAAGTCTGACTCAGGAATGTTATGGAAATGGGAAATTCCCATTTTTAGCCTCTTATGGCCTCTGTACAGTATATTATCATGTGACATGTATATATTAACAACCTAACCAACTATTATCACCCAAAACACCCGATGTCCATGTTATTGTAAACACCACTGTTACAACATCTGTTACATTAATTGTAACATCTTCTCAATGTCATGGCCCTCTCCTGCACCCGAATGCTATAGAAATGGGCCAATTAGGCCCCATTTTTATAACAAGGAAGCACCTAGTAGCTGGGTTATAATACAACTGCCTCAAATACACTGATATCATACTACACCCAACTTCCCCCGCGTGCTCTCGACTTCACACTGATTCTTTCACTTTTGGGGCCACAACTTCGAAATTTTGGGCCACAACACCAAAAAACTCTTTTTCTGCCCTCTTCTTTGTGACAATCACTGCATAACAAATACACCATGTACTTTGCTTAACAAGCTACCAAGTGCCCAAGTCTTGCACTGATTGCCCTGCTTTTAGGGCCTTAAACTCTGTTTTTTGATTTTTTTGGGGCCACAACACTAAAAGTCTTGTCTGTGCCCCCAATACTTCACAATCACTTTGAAACAAACCAACATTGGCATGACACTCTCTGTTCAGTTCTTGCATTGATTGCTTGATTCCCAGAGCTACAACTTCGAATTTGGCACCTCTGACAAAACCTTTCCCCTGCCACTTCATATAATCATTGGATTTGTCCAAAACTTTCTTAACATGCTCTGTCCCCATCTTCTGATTACCATGGTCACTTTGGCAACAATCGTTGTATTTTCTTGGCCACTCCTATGCCACTGGTGAATTGATAAAATTTGCTGGTAATGCTAGTGAAAGTGCTCTATCCACCCTACTCAGGCCCTGATTTCTGGATTGCAGACACTGGTGCAACAGCTCATATGACACCAAATCGCCACTGGTTCTCTGAGTATAAGTCTTCCAAGATCCCAGTTCATCTTGCTGACAATAATCTGGTCTATGCCATTGGTGTTGGTTCAATTGTCTTCAATCCTGTTAAAAATGGACAATCCCTGCAACCCATTGAGTTCAGCAATGTGTTGTGTTTTGTGTTGTGGGTTATTTCTTTCAATCTTTGCTTTATAGATAGCCATGTGACTACTGAGTGGTTCTTTATTGTTTCTACTATAATAAACACTAAAGACCAACTCAGGGTGTGCCACCAGCTGAGTTACAATACAATGTTCTCCATGTCCTTCTCCTTGCCAACAACCTCCTCTTTGTCCTCACACTTACTTGAAGCAAGAATTTCGAAGTTGTCATCAGGAAATCAACCATGGACTTTACTCTAAACAGTCAAGTACTGTTCCAAGCTTCAGTTTCTGATGAGAATATAACCTCACTGGATGGATCGACAGTTGTTCAAGCTGCAGCTCTCAAAATGTCCACCTCTCTGTCCCCTGAACTCTGGCATAGATGCTTTTGCCACATTGGACAGGAATGATTTAAGCAGCTGGTTTCTGGCAAATTTGTGAGGGACCTCCTAATCCATAATTCACCTTCCTCCCTGTTGTAGTTTTAGTTGTCTCTTTTCATTTCAATCTTCACTCTATAGATAGTCATGTGACTTTGGAGTCAGCTTTATCCTTTTTACTTATTGTATCTAGGCCCAAGTCTACTCCAGACTGCCCCAGGGGTGCTAACTTGAGTTACTACACATTCACCCCTGATTCCATGTCTCCTGTTTGGCTCCACACAAGCCAAATGATTCATTGTTATTCCCCAGACAGGTAGCCCAGGTCTTCTGCAACTTCAGGATCAACCCCAAAAGAGAATACCAGGTCCAGGATTTCCTGGACCATGCCTGGGACACAGGTGATAGCCTGTGGCTACATGTCAAATGGAGTCTCAGTGACCTCACTTGGGAGCCACTCTCCAATTGTGACAAATTAGCCACCCTGGATGACTACCTTATATTACAGGGAGTCAAGGAAGTAGAAGAATTGAGTAAGGGAAGTTGGTTCCTGACTCCCCCTGCCCAAGGCACAATCAAGTCACCTCATAATAAGCCCCTAAAGAGGGCTAATTGGCTGGCACTAGTAATAAGGCCCATCAAGGGCCGCCTCTGGTGCTAATTTTCCCAATATGGGAATTGCTTCAAGGATGCTTAAAATTATATTCCCACAGTCAAGTTTTTCACCCCCTCTTTCTTTGCCAACAGGGAACAATGAGTCCCTGAGACTGTATACAATGATAACTCATCGTGTTCTTACTCAATGAGGGATACAGAAGAATGTTGTGGTTATTTCACTTAGTTTCTCTTCAATCTGCACTCTATTTCATGTCACATGATGGTGGAGTTGTCCTTTACTGTTACTACTAGGTGTATTAACACTAAAATCCAACTCAGGAAGCACCTATTAGCTGGGTTATAATAGGTTATGAGCCCTCTGGCTTGAAGAACTCCAAAAACACCACTATTTTTTGATTTCTTCAATGCTCTGCAAAACTTGCTCTAAGCATTACTCCTGTGGCTTGGTTTCTTCATGCATCGCTTTGAAACTCATATACGACATCAGCTGCACTGCGCACATGCTTGTCCCTCAGTTTCATTGCGATTGCATCACTCTGTTGGCCACAGTCCCAACATTGATTATGCTGTTATTTGAACCACCCACTTTAAGTGCCAGTGGTCAAAACTTCTCTCTTAACACCCTCTGATTTGAGACTTGTACACCACATACTATGCTTGATGCACTATCATTGTCACCCTTAGATGCTGGTCACTTCGCTTATCCCACCCCACATCACATCCTGCTTTCCATGTCATCTGAAACCACCTCAGACTCCATTGTTAAGCTCAATCCTGCAAATTTTCATGCCTGGTACACTGAAATTGCTGATTTGTTGTGCAAAAAAAGCTACTGGGGCATTATCAATGGCACAGTCACACTGCCAGCTTAAAAAGCCCATGAAGCTGCTCTTGCCAAAGAGAAGGCACTTGGTCTGATCAGGAGAAGTGTGGAATTTGCTCTAAAACCTGTCATTGCTGGGCTGGATGACCCCAAAGATGTTTTGGAAAAGTTGAAGTCCACTTATGGTG